GGAGAGGGAATAAAAATCACTTCCCCAATCCTTTAACATCCCTGCATTCTCTAAGATAGGTGCAGGGGTTCGTATTTCATAAAGCTGATCCTGGTCTTTTATAGAGCTTAGCAAGATATCTTTTAAAAGGTGACCAAGTGTATGACTAGTCTTCTGCCAGCCAAGGACTAGCTGCCCTTCTCATTCTATCAGGGAGAATTTCATATATTTATCATAGGAATGGACAATATAGAAATAGCTAATACGGAGTTGAAGATGAGTGTTAAGAGAGAGCACCTAGCTGTCATTGATGAGTTCAAGTCACCAAGCCCAGATTGACTATATTCTAGATTAAGAAAAGGATTGGCTAATTCACTATCAGTAATCTTTAAAAAATAATACACCAAAATATTTATACAATTAACCAAAATACCTATAGCACCATTTGTAGTAATAGCAAAATTGAAGCCATGTAGATGTCTGTCAATAAGAGGACAACTAATCAAAGTGTGGTACATGAATGTAATGAAATCTTATCATGCTATAAGAAATGAAGAATGTAATAAATAGAGAAACATGGAAAGATCTATATTAACTGATGCAAATTGAAGTCAGCAGAGCCAAGAAAGCAATATAAACAATGACTACAACAATTTAAATGGAAAGAACAGCCACAAAACAATCATAAGTGTACGTTGCGAAATTAGAAAGAACAAATATATGACTTCAAAGAAGAAATATGACAAGATATCTGCACACCATTGCCAAGGTGGTAGGTCCACAAGTACAGTACATTGTCCATATTTTCGGTCTTTTTCTATTGATCAGTTTTGCTGATTTTTTTCTTTTTTTTTTTCTTTAAAATATTTTTATATAAGATAGCTTTCTGGGGGAGTGAATTTAAAAGATGCATCAATAAAACTTATTTTAAAACATATAAGCAATAAATAATGGAACAGGTACTGCAGAACTAGAGAAGAATAGATATTATTCTCATTTTTAAAAAGACGTTATCTACATTGAGTAGCACTTGAGACCAGGGCTTGTCCCTATTTTATTTTATTTTTTAATCTTTCTTTTTTTTTTAATTTTTTAAAATTAATTTATTTTTAGTTTTCAACATTCACTTCCACAAGATTTTGAGTTCCAAATTTTCTCCCCATCTCACCCCTCCCCCTACCCCAAGACAGCATGCATTCCGAATACCTGTTCCCCTAGACTGCCTTCCCTTATATCACCCCCCCCCCTCTCTTATCCCCTTGCCCTTCTATTTTCCTGTAAGGTAGGATAGATTTCTATACCCCATTGCCTGTATATCTTATTTCCCAGTTGCATGTGAAAACAATTTTAACATTTGTTTTTAAAACTTTAGTTTCCAAATTTTCTCCCTTCCTTCCTCCCCGCCCACCCTCATTGAGAAGGCAAGCAACTCGATACAGGTTATACATGTGTAATCATGTAACATACTTCCATAGTAATCATGTTGTGGAAAACTAACTATATTTCCCTTTATCCTATCCCACCCCCATTTATTCTTTTCTCTCTTTTGACCCTGTCCCTCCTCAGAAGTGTTTGCTTCTGATTTTACCCCCTCCCTCAATCTACCCTCCCTTCTGTCATCCCCCCATTCTCTTATCTCCTTCCTCCCTATTTTCCTATAGGGTAAGATAGATTTACATTCCCAATTGAATGTGTGTGTTATTCCCTCCTTAAGCCAAATCCAATGAGAATAAGATTCACTCATTCCCTCTCACCTTTTCCAACTTCCCTCCACTGGAAAAGCTTTTTCTTATCTGTTTTATGTGAGATAATTTACTCCATTCTACCTCTCCCTTTCTCCTTCTCTCAGTATAATCCTCTCTCACCCCTTAATTTTATTTTTTAGATATCACCCCTTCATTTTCAACTCACCCTGTGCCCTTTATCTATCTCTCTATCTGTCTATTTATCTGTCTATCTATATACATATAATTTTTTCCCTCCAACTACCCTAATACTGACAAAGGTCTCATGAGTTGCAAATATCATATTTCCATGTAGGAATGTAAACAGTTCAACTTTAATAAGTCCCTTATGATTTCTCTTTCCTCTTTACCTTTTCATGCTTCTCTTGAGTCTTATATTTGAAAGTCAAATTTTCTGTTCAGCTCTGGTCTTTTCATCAAGAATGCTTGAAAGTCCTCTATTTCAGTGAATATCCATTTTCCCCCCTGCAGGATTACACTCAGTTTTGCTGGGTAGGTGATTCTTGGTTGCAATCCTATACCGTTGACCTCCAGAATATCATATTCCAAGCCCTCTGATCCCTTAAATGTAGAAGCTGCTAAATCTTGTGTTATCCTGATTGTGTTTCCACAGTGCTTGAATTGTTTCTTTCTGGCTGCTTGCTTCTTGACTTGGGAACTCTGGAATTTGGCTATAATATTCCTAGGAGTTTTCCTTTGGGGGTCTCTTTCAGGAGGTGATCGGTGGATTCTTTCAATTTCTATTTTACCCTCTGGTTCAAGAATATCAGGGCAGTTTTCTTTGATAATTTCTTGAAAGATGATGTCTAGGCTCTTATTTTGATCATGGTTTTCAGGTAGTCCAACAATTTTTAAATTCTCTCTCCTGGATCTATTTTCCAGGTCAGTTTTTTTTCCAATGAGATATTTCACATTGTCTTCTATTTTTTTCATTCTTTGGGTTTTGTTTTATTGTTTCTTGATTTCTCATAAGTCATTCGCTTTCATTTGCTCCATTCAAATTTTTAAGGAAGTATTTTCTTTAGTGAGCTTTTGGACTTCTTTTTCCATTTGGTCAATTCTGCTTTTGAAGGCATTCTGTTTCCCATTGGCTTTTTGGACCTCTTTTGCCTCTTTTGAGTTAGGCTATTTTTTAAGGTGTTATTTTCTTCAGTATTTTTTGGGGTCTCCTTAAGCACGCTGTTGACTTGTTTTTCATGATTTTCTTGCATCACTCTCATTTCTCTTCCCAGTTTTTCCTCTACTTCTCTTGCTTGCTTCTCAAACTCCTATTTGAGCTCTTCCATGGCCTGGGACTGATTCATGGTTTTCTTGGAGGCTTTGGATGTAGGAGCTTTGACTTTGTTCTCTTCTTCTGGTTGTATGATTTGATCTTCTTTGCACTAAAGGAAGATTCTATGGTGTGCCTTTTTTTTTTCATAGTTTGCTCATGTTCCTAGACAGTTACTTGAGCTTTAAACTCTTTGTTAAGGTAGAAGTCTACTTCCAGTGTGGAGAATGTACAGTCCCAAGCTTTGGGGGTTTTGTGCAGCTGTTTTCAGAGATACTTCTAGGGACCTGTACATTTTCCATTCTTCCAAGTTGGTAGGCGAGGTGTTTACTCCTTTCCTGGCCTGTGCTCTAGTCTGTGAGTGACCCCTCTCCACCACCACTACAAGCTCTACCATGCCAGCATTCCTCCTCACCCCAGGACTGCCACCCAGATCCAAGCATGGGCAAAGCAAGAGAATCCTGCCCCAAAACCAGCAAAGAGAACCCTACAATCCCTCTATGATTAGCCACTCAATTCCCCCTCTCTCTATGGCCTGAGAGAGCTCCAGAAGCAGTGACCCTGTGGCTGCATCGGGACTAGGGCTTGGACTGGGCTTCTCTCTCACCATGGTCCAATAGACCTTTCCTACTGACCTTCAAAGTTGTCTTTGGCATTTGTGGGTTGAGAAGCCTGGAAACCACCACAGCTGCCTGTGATTCATTCCCCTGAGGCCTGGTCTTTGCATGTGTGCCCATGCTGAACTATGCTCCTCTCCCAGCCTGGCACAATAGACCTTTCCAGTCAACTCTCCAGGTTGTCTTGGGCTGGAATTTGTTTCACTCTGTCTTTTTGTGGGTTCTGCACTCTAGAATTTGTTTGGAGCCATTTTTTACAGGTATTTGGAGGGGTTGAATACCTGGAAAAATTCTAAAACTACACGAAGTTAAATAATTCACCACAATTTTTTTGTTTTTTGTTTTGTTTTGTTTTGTTTGGTGAGGCAGTTGGGATTAAGTGACTTGCCCAGAGTCACACAGCTAGTGAGTGTTATGTGTCTGAGGCCAGATTTGAACTCAGGTCCTCTTGACTACAGGGCTGGTGTGCTATGTACTGCGCCACCTAACTGCCCCCCACAATTTTTTCTTTAAAAAGCCAGTTCTTATGGTGTACTTTAAATGCCATGGTTTATGAAAATTTACATACAATTTTCAGAAACATAATCGTTACTTAGAAAGACATGTGGCTTTATGTGTATGTATGAATTGCTATATTTGATTTTTAATAATTTTCTGGGTTTTTTGTTGATATTCTTTAAATTATCAAAAATCTAATCTGTTAATAACAGTTGTTTGATGTCTCCATACCTATTTGGAAGTGAAGATTAATGTAAATGAGGGCCAAGTAGCATCAGGTTGAATTTGTTTTTTCTCTTTCTAAGTCATGCAGTTATAGCTACTTAGGGATTTTGCTTTCAAAATAATTTACCCAGGTATTTATCTGAATTCACTCCATAATAAAGAAATTTAAAAGTTTCTTAGTATATATATTACACATAAATATATTTTATTTTTAGAAGTTAAAATAAAATTAATGAATGATGATTGTAGAATATAGAATATTTTGTTAAGATTTTAATGTAATTTCTATAAAAGAATGATCAGGAACATACATAATATGTTATTATTTTAGCCAAATATCAGATAAATAGTAAATAACTCATCTAATTAGAACAAAATGTAAGCTATTTTGCATGTTTTACTTAATCTAATAAAAATGTTCATTTTAATGATTTAGACAGGAATTACAAAAAAATGAGATGGTAGAAGAACGCTATTTCTTCAGTATTATTTTACCTTAAAGATTAAACATTGCTTTTCCTGAAGCTTTCCTTTTGCTAAAATGCCTTCTCTTTTAGAAAAAGTGATGGTGTTATTTACATTAATTTCGTGTGGCTTGTTGTAAAAAAATATATATATATATGTGCCATAGCTCCTTTACTTAATGGGATTCTTTTCTCGTTGCAGTGCAAACGGCTAGAGCAGGAGCTTCATCATCTGAAAGAGCAGAACCAGACTTCAGCAAACAACATGAGACATCTGACTGCTGAAAACAATCAAGAACGTGCTCTGAAGGTAAATCTCCATTCCTTCTTGCAGGCAAATTAAGGTTATAAGCCCTTGGTGCCAGCTTTCTGTGCTGCATATATCAGTTGTGTACATTTCAGCAGAAGTGAGCTGTGGTGTTTGCCAACAACCCCTTCTTTAAACACAGATACAGAACCCTTCTGTTATGGTATTATTTTATTTGTGAGTGTGTGTGTGTGTGTGTGTGTGTGTGTGTGTGTGTGTGAGAGAGAGAGAGTGTGTGCGTGAACAAAAACAACATAGAATGATATATTCTCAGAATTGTCAAGGCAGTGTTATGGCAACTTTTTAGCATCAGTTTTATTTTCCTTCTATCTGTGTATTACTTTTATGTTTAATTGAGACTAATCACATTAAATTATGTATCTTTAAATGTGGATGTCTTTCATCAGTATTCACTAGATCATTAATAATGTGACCTGCATTAGTGATGCATATAGTTGATACTTTTTGAAAAGGATATCTTAAAAAAAAAAGAAAACAAATTTTATTAGTAAGAAGAGGTGAAAAGAAGCAAAGACAATAAATATACTTTGACTTTTTTCAAAGGTTGAGGCAAGGTTGGCAATTTCATATTTATAAACCATACTCTGTCATTATACCATGTAATTAATTATACAAGTTGTAGTTTAGTTCTATTTTTAAGATATGTATATATCTCTGTTTCCTGTTATATGTGTTTGTGTAAAACATAAATTATATATACACGTATATATGTGTGTGTGTATATACATATTGTATATATTTACATATGTATATATAAAATTTTACACACATGTTTATATATCTAAATAGGATATTTTGTATGTGTCTTTCAGTTATTTTCTTTTTATTTAAAAAATGAACTCATTGAGGAAATGGATATTATTGCAAACTCCTCACTTAACACTTCTTGCAATTACAAGGATGAAATGATTATTTGAATGGGTAGAAAGGGAAGGTTGGGTAAAGGTTATTGATAGAAAGAAACAGAAACAAACTGCTTCATTAACTGATGTTTTCTCCTGTTGGACCTTTCCCAACCCTGAATTCAATGATATTATTCTCATTCACTTCTTAAGTGTTTAAGATTCTTCATTAGTTCTTTTTCATGCAGCACATAAACATATGCTTTGCATAACCTGAAATTATGGGCATAGCTAAACTACAGTCTTACAATCATAATTCAGTAGAGCATGATCATTAAAACATATCCTTATATTAGAATTGTTACTTGAAAACTATTTCTAAAAGTATACATTTCAATAATCCGATTTTCAAAGTAATATCATGAGCACTTTATTGGGCCCTCAACTTGTGTCACTTGTGATGAAAGCTCTGTGTTCATATAATTAAATTAACTGAGTCAAACATTTTTTACAGAATTGTTCATTAGAGATTTTATGGCCATTTTGCATGATTGTAAAATATTTGTCCTAACATGAGGAAAAAAATTTAACTTTAGTGTAGTATGCTTCATTGAAAATTATTTCCTGACATGTCTTTTTAATTCCACCTGCACTTCTTTTGTTTCAAATTCTGAGAATATATTAGTGGGTTTGGGTGGATTTGTGTGTTGTTTTATTTTTGGGGGTTTTTTTGCCATATTTATACACAACATTTTCATAAATGGTAACAAATGATTCAATGCTCAAAAATTTTTAGAAATGACTAGGTAAGTTATGTACACTTAAAAAAATCTATTTTAATCTAATAAATATTAAAGAGCCCCATAAATAAAAATACATGGAAGACAAGTTCTGTTCACAACTTTACCACCAAATAGCTGTGTGGCTTCAGACAAATTACTAAGTCTGTGTCCTCATCTGTAAAATGAGGGTTAAACTAGATCTCAGAGATCCATTCCAGCTTAATTTCTATGATCAATACTTTGGTTCAATAATGCCAGAGTCTTTTATGGGAATTCTTTTTCAATTCAACAAGTATTACTGAGATCATATTCAAGATAGAGTTGAACCAGTCACTGTCAACTACACAGAAGTAATAACCCCTTTCTTAAGGAATCAAGTTTGTGTGTGTGTGTATGTGTGTACGTTTTGTTTTTATTACCTTTTTAAAGATAAAGTATATTAAAGATATTTATGCTTTGACTATCTGAAAATTCAAATTTTCAGCAGCTTTTGGCCTTTGCCATCCATTGGATGACTAATATTCTGCTAAGCCAACTGTTTTTCGTGAGGATTTCATGATTTTCTTTAGACACACTAATTTATTTCCTGTTTATCATTTTATATGCATAAAAATTATTTTCTATCTTTGTTTAGCTTTCTATTGCAGTAAATTGTTATAGGGTAGTATTCAAAACACGATAATCATACTACTATATATCAACATAACATTTTATTAGTGGTATGAATGACTGAGGCAATACCCTGTTTGGGAGAGACAAAAGTTTTAATGCTTTATGGTTGAGGTTCAGTAGAATTCAGATGATAATCTTCAGTCAATTTACCTTTATTTAAAAATCCAAGTGTACTTTCAAGGAAGATCAAAAGCATGTATCTTAGAGTAATTTCCATTTTTCAAAGTTAAACTGTAATCAAACTCAATAAAATATAAATTCCCCCTTTGTTAAACAACTCAAAAAATGCAGGTTGATTCTAGATTGCCTAAATTTAAGAACATGCTAAACATATGCTTATTTTTCTGTTTTAAATAGTTTCCCTTCTTTCTATAATGATTTTTTTTGGCATACGAAGTAGATTATTTAAGAGGAATAATACAGCCTGCAGAATTTTTCTCTATTTTGCTATCCATATTAAACCAGATAATATTTGTAAAGCACTTAGCATAGTGCCTGGCACATAGTAGGAACTAAATAAATGTTTGCTCCCTTCTCCCCTCATTACTTATTATCACTTCTACCAAAGGTGGGCAATGACTAGAAGAGGAGCATCTCTGGTTAAAGATTTAGTTAGACATGAGCTTGAAATAAAGTTTTTCATTGATCCATGGATTGTTTACATATTTGATCTCTTTTCATTAGCTTAGGCAATTGAGGATATCTGCATTTCACTTATTAAGCTGTTGTTTTCCACAAGTGTAAAGGGACAGATAGCATTTTTTGGAATTTTAGAATAGAAAGAGAAACAGTTAATTGGGAAATTTTGACTGCTTCAGTTGAAGATGTTGAAATGCTCATCCTTCTAAAAGTTGTGTAAATAGTAGACCCTAGCCTTTTTGAAAATGGAATGAATTACATTTCAAACTGCCTAGAAGTAGAATGGTTACAAGGTATTAGGTATAAGCATCAATGTATACTGGGTGTAATTAACCCGATCTATCAGGGACTATGATTCAAAGAATTCCAAGAAATATAGAATTATAGATTTAAAACTGGAAGGACCTTTAGAGGCCACATCATCCAGCTCTTCATTTTATTGGTGAGGATACAGAGGCCCAGAGATGTTAAGTGATTTACCCCAAGTCACATAGGTAATTAAGTGGCAAATCTGAGACTGGCTGACGCCCCCTGAGTACAAATTCATTGCTCTTCACTTAGTTGTGTAGAAACTGAAGACTACTTAAAAAAGAAAACGTGAGACCACCAATCCAAGGAATACATGTTTTTCTTACTACAAATGTATTCCAAGAGTTCAAACCCATTTGAACAACTTTCTTCTTTGGTGGAGAATGGTTGGAGAGCTTGATAAAACTCTGGAGCTGTCTCATGCACCTTTGTGAACATATCTAGACACATCCATGAGGACACATATAACCTACATGGACAACATACATATGTGTGTGCACACTCACACATACGCACGTGCGTGCACACACACACACTCTACATGTGGGAGCTCATCTGCAAGAATAAAGCAATAATTTCTCGTTGCTTATTTCTAAAAAAAAAAAACATAGTTTTTTAATTCTTTTTTTAGGCCTTTCTGAGGTTCAGAAATTCTTGCTCCTAGGAGGGATTTTATTGTCCTATTTGGGAAGACACATTTTGTCTGTGTTTTCTTTTTTCCTCCTATGAAGTGGGTTTTCTTTGGATGAACAGACAATATTGTTTAATTTTAATTGTAACCTAGAATTTCTTAGTGTATTTTCAATTTTGTTTTATAGGAACTTTTAGATATTTAACTGTTTTCATTGCTTTGAAAAGAAAACAAATGAAGACTATAATTGAATATCAGTGCTGACTCAGTGAAGAAAATGAATTGAATAATCTATAGCATGATCATAAAAAAGTGATAGATGAGGAAAAGTATTTCAATTCTTTTTTTTTTAATTTTCCCAAGGTCTGTGAAATTTTTTAGAAATGAATTTTGTGAGAAATTACTTTTTTTTTTAACAAAACGTACACGTATATACAAAATAGAAGGTAAATTTGCTTTACAGGTAGTTGCCGTAAAGCAGTGTTGTACTATTTAAGGACAAGTGTAGTTTCATTACTTACATGTGACATATAACCATATCCATTATAAATCTGGATGTAAATATGTTAAACAAAAATTCTTCTAATTAACTCGGATCATATTTTCAAATCTCCCTTTTAACATTCTTTGTGTGTGTTTCTTTGCAATTTAATCATTGAGTAGCTGTTATTGAATAAGATAAATCACTTCACATGTTAAAGAGGTTATTGGAATTTGAAGAAATTTAGATCAAGAAATAACTGGTAGTAGTTAAAAAGCAACCAAACCATTATAAAAAGAGAATCCACTTGAACAAAATTTCCTAAGTTCTTACTAAGCACTGCAGGATACAAAGACAAAAAACAAAACAGACCCTGCCCTTAAAAACTTTAATTTCTAATTTAACTGGGCACTCAAACTTTCCCTCTGGGCACAGAAATGTTTTGAAACCTAACTAAAGATGAATCCTGGGAATTGTAGTCCTGGGCAGACAATGTTGTTTTTTTCCTGACCTGAGAGATTATCTGAGGAGTTTCTCCATGGACTATCAGGTTAAGAGGAAGCTGAGCATGAAATCCCAATGAGCTAGAACAGTTGCAATACAGATTTGGAGATGATTGAATGCAA